TTATTTTGTCTAAATGGGTTCATAAGTAGGCGTATTTCTGAAATCTACTATTGGTCTTAGGGGGTCACCTGGTTTATGTATTTTTATAGTACCATACATATTCTACTAGCATTACTAGTTTCAGGCATTAAATTAAATCATTTAGAGTCACCCAGTGACGGCTTCATTCTGCATTTGAAATCCGCTGTAGATTTCTTAACCGTATTCATCAATAGTATCTACAGGCTTTTTAATTTCCTCATATGGACCCGTCTCAATATATTCAGTGATTTTCTTGATATAGTCAGATTTATCCAAAACTACTGTAGAGTTTCCTTTATCAGCTTTTGTGATGACGATGTTTTTATCCTTTTTTAGACTAATAAGAGCTAGTCTTTCCGATTTTGTTAAGTTTGATTTTGCTTTTTTTTTGATTTTTCAGGGCTAACGCACATTGTGCTCGAATCTCTTCTGTCTGTCGTGACATAAACGTACTTGAGAAAGAACGAAATTCCAACGTAACAGTTAGTAAATTAAAACCAGACGTTTTCATTCCTAACATAGAAGTAGCACTAAGTTCAATAGATAAGACAACAGCAGGAAAGGTTCAAGCACAATGTGCGTATGATTGTTAATAAAGCAGGAATTAGAGTGGCATTTAAACCTACAAACTCACTCAGGTAGGACAATCTCTGTAGGGTAAATGATCCAGTTGACCAAATTAGACAAAATAATATAAATTACAAAACACCTTGCAATGACTGTGAGTTAAGTCAACTACATAGGTCAGAGTGGTAGGTCGAGGGTAGTCAGATTGTCAGAACATAAGAATTTAGCTAAGGTAAGAATGGTTGACCCCGAGAAGATCAGTAATTTAGAAAAAAGCTCAGCGATTACACTGCATACACTAACACACAACCAAACAATAGGGTGGGAGAGAGTTAAAATTCTAAGAATTAATATAGGTGGGTGTAAAGAGAGAGAGATGTTGATTACTGAATCCTTGTTCATCGAGTATACACCCAACACGTGCAATAGGGTGCAATGACTCACCACGCATACCGGAAATATGGAAAATACTACTACCAATCAAATCAAACGATGAAAAATAATGGAATTATATAAACGAAGTTAGAAAGTTGTGTGAGTAGTGTCTTGATATGATTATGAGCAGCAGTAAATTGTGGTTGAAACGTCATCAGTAAACATTACTGCATAACACTGTGAGACTTTATCAAAATAAATTTTACCCATAATGGAATTATACTCTACCACAGTGCACAAGCTTTATTCTTATAACATGGTGCCATCTTTTCATTAAAAAGCAAATGCTAGCAGGTACTGGGTAATTCGAAGATATTGATCTCATTTTTAGATATTTGAATTGAGGTTATCTGGCGCTGCAATAAGAGACTTTACTATTAGGATATTCGGACTCGCCAATGACCTGTTGTTGTAGGACTGTAATGGATTTATTGCTTAGTCCCTAATAAATCGTCTATTTTGCTGAAAGCATTGCAAACTTGATGGATAGAATTCAGTAATCAACATGAAACTAAGAACTGGAGACACATTACACTTGTTTGACTCACTCCAGTGACTGATCAATATTTCGGATAAAAAATATATATTATATAAAAACAGTAGAAATTTTATTTCATCGCATAAAAAAAAATTGACAAATCACATATCCTGTCATTTGACATCCGTAACCACCACCACCACCACTGCAACCACGGTTACGATCAGTTTACTCACAAATCGATACGGTAGGACAGTATGAGAAATTCCCTCTTTTTTTCAAGGATATAGACAAACTGAAGGGAAACAAATTATGATTTCAATTGATGATAAGATTTCGTCTGAATTTATATCAGTCTTGAAATCAAAAGCAGACGAAGAATGAAGAGGGTACTACTTCCAACCAACAGATGATCTTCAATAATTCTTCTTCGAAAATTATTCATTCTTTCAGAAGTAATTAGTGGTTAGAAAAAATAGACTGGAATATATTGACATACTTTCACAACAAAACAGTATTGTACTAGTGAAAGAAGTATGAATAATTGGTTGGTTGGTTAGTTAGTTAGTCGCTTAAACTCAGTTCCTGTGACAATCTTTCTATGCTCCAGGCTAAGAGCTGCACAATTATTAAATTATATGTGACGGCTGATCATACTTACATTACAGTTGCCTAGACGGGTTGAAGTAGGTGGGGTGGGATTCGAACCCACAACCCACTCACCATTCGTAAATCGGGTATTCAAGCCAATGAACCACGCATCTCCACAGCCAATGATTTAGTTAGCTAGTTGAGAACCACTCTCAAATTACTGGGTTGTTAGCCTCATCGTCCAACCTCCATACTATACCCGGACTTACTAACTACCGGTTAGTAAACTACAATGAAAGGTTTACGAGTGCGTCGATCGGGAATCGAACTCAGACCTCTCACAGGACTGCCAAGCATTCTACCACTAAAATAATATTCATTTTCATTATAATTGGATATTGTGTCAGTGGTTGAATGACGGAATGCTCTGGCCAGCAATGTACATGGACAGTTTCAGATTCTTGACCAATGTGTACTCCTCCTAAAGCCTACCTAGTTTACCAACCAGTGATAAAACCCAAAAAAAGAGGGAAGGTTGGGCAAAGAAGCTAGACACCTCACCGCATAAAACCCATTCTATTGCTGCTGACACTTCAAAACAAATTGAAGCCCTCAGATCTACCAGGAATCCTTAAGGAGGCTGGTGTCTCTCATGGCGTTATTCTTTCTCCTTTTCTATTCTCCTTCTTCTTGCATGACTTGCCTCATTCTGATGAAATGAACTTTGTTCAATATGCAGACAGTCTAACAATTTCAAAGCCTGTTACCTCCCAGCTAGAATGTTCTAAAATGAACAGCTTTCTATCAGGGGTCAAAAAATGGTCTTTGTCTAATAGTCTTAAACTAAATCCCTTCAAATGTCAGACTGTTAATTTCAGTTTCAGATGTGAAAGGAAGTTAAATGAAGCATTTAATTCCCATGACCATTACAAAATTGATGATACTGATATAGAAGTCAAGTCTGACGTTAAGTATCTTGGATTAATTCTTTCTTCTGACCTATTCTGGTCTTCCCAGTAAAATATTCCGTATGACACTTTACATAAAGAAGTTAAGGCATTAAGGGACAACTCAACCCCTCCTCCTACACTTTGTCAACTCTTGCATCCTATCTATTCTTCACTCTTATTCTTTCCTGAGTTGCTTAAAAAGAACTATGTAATCCTCTGTAGAACTCTGAAGACTTTCAGTCAGAAGGGCGAGTGGTATCCCATAGGGTTATATCGTTGACATCGTCATTATTGATAGCCACTTGATTTCATGCAATAAATTTACTAAAGGGATTCTGTCAGACTGTGAGCATCCACTGCAGCAGTACCTGCAACTGCCACCTTGCATCTCCTTGGGTACAACAGGAAGTCATTTGAAAAGACTTTATGCGCGCATGTCTAAGTATAAAAATTCCAAGATACCATATTCGGCAAGTACATCACGTGATGAAAATAGTGTCAGGAACGAACTAACTAACTAGTTAACCTTCTTTCCACTAGAAAGTAAACAATTTTCTCCATGTTTATACCATAAATGTTTACTGTTATTATTCCTCTTATATTTATAGTCCTCTCATTTATTTTGTTTTGTTTATTTTCTCTTAGGTGAAAACATCACTTGACCTATGTAATAACTGTTATTATTTTTCTTGTTTCTCTTCTCACCGCGCTATGCGACAAGGACATTAGATTCAATACTCTGTAACACTCTACGATTCCCATAATATATCGAAAATATTATTTGAATATAGCAAAAATATTCATTCAGACATCTATAAAACACAAAATAATCGAGCAAAGAAAATTCTTTTCGATAAATTCCTCTTCCAGGCTCTACAATTATATACATGTTTATATACACAGAATATTTTAAATTAGTAGTTAATAACAATATTAAATGTTTTTTTAAAATAATATCGATTTGTAAAGTATGATCAATGCTATTGCAGTTCATTAAAGATGCTTAAATTATAATAATAATAATAATAAAGATATAGTAGCGACTAGAATATCAACTAAAATTAGGAAAATTCCACAAAAATTCATAATCATTCAAACCTAAATGGCCAACGTAACGATAATGTCTGAACTAGCTTCTTTTGGGTGCATAAATTAAGCTTATTAATATGGATCCTCAGAGCCTCAGCAATATTTAGAAGTCGAACTCTTAAAGCAAAATTGAGATTCATAGGTATGCGGTAAATGACCCTGAAAGCATGATTAACGTCAATCTTGTGTTCTGTCTCCACAAAATGAGCCAGAATAGCACTGCGAATCGATTTTGTTTGACCTTTGCTTAACCAGGCATGGTGATGTTCGGAAATTCGACACGAAACAAGCCTAATTGCACGGCCAATGTAACTGGCTCCACAGGAGCAGTTAAATTAGTATATACACATGGAAGAGGCGAAATTAGGCAGTTTGTCTTTTATTCGTGAACGCAAAAGAGGAGTGGTTTTAAAGATACAGCGTAATTGAGCAGCAGGGAATGCTCTATTTACCGCATTTCTAAGGCGCTGTGTTAGTATCTGACTGGTGTTGTCTCCTAGGAACTGCATCTGTAAGAACAAGGCCTTTTTTGGAACTGTTGGTAACTTGGGCTGTTTTGGTTTCAGATTCATATTCTTATTTGAAACAAACCCACTCTTATTATTATTCTCATCTTATATTTTGCACATTTTTGACTTCATTCCCACTGTAAATGCGGACGAATTCCAGTGGTTACTATTTATTTCTATTTTCAGTAAATTAGATGCAGTATTGTGACAAATGCTGAGAATTCCATGCTGTATTATAAGTACTGTCTGTTTTTGGAATAAAGCAGATTATTATTGTGATAAGTAGGTAATTCAATAAGTGATTCAATAAATTTTTGTTTATGTTTTTTTTAATAGTAATAATAATAATAATAAGCTCACCTCCATACGTTTAACAGGATCACTTTCTTTAACTGCTTCATCTAATAATTCAGAATACTCCATATATTCAGCTATTCGTTGTAAAAAGCTTAATGGCTCATTCAATACTATTGGCATTGTAATTTTAGATAATTCCTACAAAGGAGGGGGAGGGAAAAGAAATAAGGGAAATCGATAAAAGATGAAATAATTCAGACAGATAGATATTTATCTTGTTAACTGAAATAATAATGACGATAATAGTAATAAATGTAGGAGTAGTTTGAGCACTATGACAGAATATAATTTCGCATTACATGAGTTCATTTGGCATAGCATACAGTGAGTGAGTGAGGTAAGTAGGGATTTGGGTAAATTACTCTTTGCCTTGTAGATGACTTTAAAGGCGGAAGCTATAGAGATAGGGTGATCATTATTGACCAGATGTTCAATGATCGCGCTTCTTATTGCTCCACTTCCACCTTTTCGTAACCGTGCAGGATAGTGTTCTTGCACCCTCTTGGACAAAACTCGTGTCGAACGACCGATATACCTAGCTCCACACGAGCAGGTGAATTGATAAACACACATAGAGTTGACCAACAGCGGGATCTTGTCCTTCAGGTTATTGAACAATAATGGTCGACTAGTAAAGGCTATTCTCAGAGATGCAGCAGGGAATGTTCTTTTCAGGGACTGTGATATCCTTCGTTTCATGATATCGGAAGCTAAGTCCCCTTTGATTTCCAAGCTCATGTAAAGAGTAATTTACCCAAGTCCCTACGTACCCGATTCATCTGTATTGCTGAAGCTTTGTTTATCGAAACAGAAAAACCAAAGCTCTGTGTACAGAAAAAGTTCTTTCAACCCCTCCAACTTTCATGGTCTTAATCCCTGCATGCTAAAGTATTGTAATCCCTAATCATATTTTGGCTCTACCAATTGTTTTCATTTTATCTATTCAATTTGTAGTCTCTTCCTTATTATGTCAATTGTTACTATTACTACTCTCACTTTGAACTGTCCCCGGTATTATTTCACTTGTTCCATTTGTTATCCTAAATTAATTCTGTTCTGCAACGTTAAATTCTATGCTGTGAAATTTCACACAATATTACGTAACGTTTTTATTTTATTCGATTTATCTACTAATCTTATAATTGCACACCCTTTTTCAAGTTCTATCCATCCTATGAATTATTCTATATATGACATTAATTTGCTTTACCACTTGACATTTAACTACGATTATAATCACAAACATTTTAGTTTTAATTGCATTTTGTACTACTATTATTATTATTATTTCATGCATTCACACCAATGATTCAATTCCCTCACCGGATATAACTTCTTAAAAGGCACCATATATATATGATTGTACAGCTTGATGATAAATTCGTTGGAAAGTCTCTTTGCTGAATCATTTGTTTTGATTTTCTATATGTTACAATGGGAATTTCCATGATTAAAAAAAACAAGAACAAAGCCTAACCTTGGGGAACTCAACAACCAATCATAACAGACTTTGCGTGGGCGGATTCGACTCGCAGATGTGTGGTCTGGCCTACAAAGAAACGGCCACAAAGAGATGACAGAGTAACTTTCAGCGGGAAAACAACTAATCAGAAGACGTTACCTCTCTGCTAACAATAACGAATGCCAATGTACATAAAAATCTATAAATATCTCTTGATTTCTTCGATCAACGATCTGTTGCCTGGCCCTTGTCTTTTGTCGTTACAATACTATATTATAAATTGAATGACTTTTCGAGCACAATTTGTTTCTCATATCAACTGCTGTTGGTTCGTAGGGATTTAATTATTTTTTTCCCCTTGATCATGAACTAACCTCCGTCGGTGAACAATCATTGAAACCGGGGATTATTTACTACATAGTTGTTTTGTCCTAGTTTGGAACTCCTCAACAGGAATCTAACTAAAGGCTTTCAAGTTACAAGGCAAGCTTATTAACCGCTCAGCTACAGGGAAGGGATCTAATGTCCAATGTTTCTCTAACTGTGGTTAGCTTGTCATAACCACACAACTTGCTAATTTGCTTTATATAACCTTATTCCCTCCTATCTTCTTAGTGTAATTTTCCATACATCCGGTTTAGGTGTTGTATCATTTCGATTGCAGATGACTGGAATTAATTCGATAAGCAAAGTTTCAGTGGTGGACAGGTTACTTACTTCCCAACCGACAGTATATTGCTTCTTAATACTTATACTCTGTCCTACACTATTTTTTAATTACATGCAAGTAAAATGCATTGCAATGGACGAGCATTTTTCCAGACAATTTAATGTTTCAGCATCTATCGTGCTAGATACGGTTACATTTTCATATCCCAATAATCTAATCGATCCCGACCTACTAGTCTGACTTATGAAATTGAACCCACAGTTTTCAAGTATTGGTTTTGTAGGGAGGGATTGTGCTTGAGTGGATGGAGGATTTCATCATGAGCTGAAATCAATTAGAGAACCATTGGAAAACCATCAGGGAGTACTGGAGAGCTGTTTCGCTTTAGTTTGAGACTCTTCAGGAGTACGCACCCACCAGTGAGGCAGTAACTCATTGAAGAAGACTTTGCGAAGTGGTCGCGCTATGTTATAAAAATTGGCAGGAGTTAGAATTCATGGACCATTGGACAGGATCCCAGTGGCTTATTAGTGCACGAGCGTGCTAGCCTTGTAACCAGAAGGTCCTGGGTTGGAACCCTGTCGGTGGGTGCATAGTGATGAAGAGTCCCAAACTAGACTGACGAAACAGTTGTCAAGCTGGTTTTAATGGTTCTCTAACTGATATGGGTCCATGGTGGTCAAACTAGAAAAACCAATCAATTCCCTACAAATCAACTCATGAAAAATAATAATACCGATGTAATATAATTTGCCAAATATGCAATGACGCTAAAGGTCAGTCACATAGATCAAAATATTTGATCGAAATTAGTTAGGTTATTGAAATTTGAGAATTAGTGGGTGGGGTTAAAAATAGTCGCAAGGTGTTTTCGCGCATAACATAGCAATTGGTGCGAAAGATATTGCAGCAGTGTAAAACAAAAAACAGCAATTCATGGAATAACCTTTAAAATGGTCAAATATAACATTTGAAATGTGTACAGTATTCTACTTTAAACACGCAATATAGAAAATCACACAAGACCGTGCAAAACACCAACTAATTGTTATTATTATCATTTTACTCGATCTCAAACTTAGTACAACTATGGACACCAGCAGATGCGCCAAACAATATCTTATAGTTTGCATAAGGGCATGGATAATGCTCGGATGCTCAAGTCAAAGCGGGTGATTATCTTAAGAAGCTCATGACTTAAAGTTCGATCTACAAAACAGTGGAACAGCGTCAAGAGCTACATTCCCGACCGAAAGCTGCTACCTTGACGTGGTGGTCGGGCTTGAACACCACAATGACCCAACAAGCTATACTGGCTGGAACTTATGTTCCTGCAGGTCCTACCATGCCAGAAAGGTTGTTTGGATAGCGGCTAGATTAAAAGCAGTTACCCAATCCAATCCTATGACTTCAAATAAATCACAAAATATCATGCCGGATCGGTCGGGGCCCGGATTAACAACGACCGCGCTTTCTGCTGCCGTGTCACAGGGCAGAAGTGATAAATACGCTACTGAGACACACCAAATGAAAAATAACAAACAAATACAGGCCGTGTGTGACCGGCCTCAAGCAGTTGTCCCCTGGGCTCTGCGGTCACACAACCAACTTCCACGGTGTGGGCAGTCGGGAAGTAACAATCGCCCTCACAATCCGAATTGCACGCGAAACCTCTCTAATCCTCACTCACCTTTGTCTTCATCTTCATCTCTATTATCTTGCCTTCCTTCTACTTCCCATGGTTTCCAGAGGTTTTGAATCAGGCTATTTCAGCTCCACTAGGTAGACCTACATGTCCATTAACTGGTCTATTTGTAATGCCAGACATTCGTACTCACCCTCTCACTTTTGTGAAGAACGCACTAACCACGTGAAGGCAATGAGCATAAATTACCTAGGGAAATTCATATCGTAAGTGATCGCCTTTGGACTTTTCCATCAAGGAGGTGGAAATGAAGTAGAGGTGAATTTCATTTTAGCACTTGCTTACACCTTCACTCTTTTTAAAGTTGATTTATCGATTTTTTATAAACCTAAAATATCCCCTGCACCATATTTCGCTATGCTATGCTATGCTATGCACGAAGGTATCATGCGATGACTTTTGTCCTCACCCTAAGTGGTTTACCGTAATCTAAAAAAATAAAACATTGATTGATGAATACCTCTCAGGAATGATGATTATTATTAAAACTGTAAGAGCATGGAAATAGAGATATTGTTCGTAACAGCTAAATTAAAAATAATGTGGAAAATGGTTCGGGTACGGAAATGCATTTACTGGCATGTAGAGTTAGTCACAAAATAGAGTGGGAAAGGGTAAAAATACACAAAAAGTAATATAATTAGCTGGACAGAGAGAGAGAGAGAGAGGTTGATCACCGAATCTTTGTTAGTAGAGTAAACACCAAACAAGTGTAACCAGAATGACGCAACACCTATTCCTGATCCATGGAGAATAACATTTTTAAAAACTAGATGGTGTAAGACGTGTGCAATAGACTGAAATGATTATGAGTGTGGTGAGAGCTGTCTACTAGCCAAAATTGGTAAGTCAGCAATTTACGTCAATGTTTACGTCCCAAATCTGGGTCATGAGAAAAGACAAGAATATAGACTAACTCAACAACCAATCAAAGCAGACTTAGCGTGGGCGGATACGATTAGCAGAAATATCAACAGACTGCTTAAGAAACGGCAACAAAAAGATGACAGAATAACCTTCAGTAGGAAAACAACCAATCAGAAAACGTTACCTCTCTGCTAACAATAATAACGAATTATAATGTACATTAAAATGTATAAATATCTGTCGATTTCCTCAATAAACGATCTGTTGCCTGGCCTTTGTCTTCTGTCGTTACATGAGCAGCAATAAGTGGCACTCAAAACGTCATCATCGAGTTATTGATACTTTACCACTGCGTGTGTATGTGTTTGTGTGTGTGTGTGCGTGTATTATATCAAATAAACCTATCTACTGTAAATTAATAATAGCAATTCCTG